CAAGAAAATGCTCTGCAGACTCGCCTACGCACGAATCTTATGGAGGCATTTTCTCAATTGAAAGTCCCTCTTCCCAAATGACTCTAACTTGTGTCAAGTTGACATAAAACTAGCCAGCACAGAAAGTGATGAAACAGAATGCACCAACTGGGCCCTTCTGCCCCGCCATCCTGTGAGGACCCACATTTGTCCTGTTTACCCCTCCAAAGGATGCATTAATGAGGTACCATTTTGGAAGTGGAGAGCAATCCCTCTCCTAGTTGAGGTCCCCTCTTTCAAGGTGTGTCAAGTTGACAAGGGGTCGATTGTGTCAGTTAGGTTTTGTCAGCTTGACACAACCTAGGGTAAGGTGGGATGAGGGACTCTCAATTTTGACAATGCCTTCATCTGATTAACCTGTAGGCAAGCCTCTGGGGGAACTTTATTGATTAAAATGCTGATCAATCAATGGGAGGGCACTGTGGGATGTACCACCCTGAGCAGATGGCCCTGGGAGGTATAAGAAAGGTACCTGAACAAGCCAATCAGCAGTGCTCTTTCACGGTCCTTGCTTCAGGTCCCAATTCCGGAGTCCTGTCTTGAGTTCCTTGGCTTCCCTTGATAATGGCCTGTTACCTGGAAGTGTAAGCCAAACAAACCTAGTTCCTCACCAGGTTGATCGTGATGTTTTTATCATGAATAGAAAGCAACCCAGGGCAAGCCACAGTGGGCTTTATGCAAACACACGTAGGTAGTATGCAGTGAAGGAGAGGCCCGGATGTTCCTCTCCTGGTGACTGTGCAGTAGCTTTACCATCACCTCCCTCACACCCACCCACCCTCCCCCCAGTCCTAGCCCTCAGCACCAGGCCTCAGGCCCCAGGGTCCCTGCAGAACTGCACAGGCATCAAAGTAATTAAAACCCTTTTCAGAAACTGTTTCACACCTCCAGCCACCAGCAGAACGATCATGCCTCTGTGTGTGCATTTATCTTCTTTGAAACTGGCCAAACAACATTCCCAAGTCCTTAGACATGGTCTCTGTGATGTGTCAGAGCAATGTGTTAAGATTTGGGCTCACAGGGCTGGAGAGATGGCTCAGTGGTTAAGAGCACTGACTGCTCCTCCAGAGGTCCTGCGCTCAATTCCCAGCAACCACATGGAGGCTCACAACCATCAATAAGGAGATCTGGTGCCCTCTTCTGGCATGCAGGCATACATGCAAACAGAACACTGTATATGTACTAAATAAATAAATCTTTAAAAATAAATAAAAATAAATAAATAAATAATAAATAAATAAATAAAAATAAATCTTTAAAAAAAAAAGATTTGTGCTTACAGCAGCCAAGAAACAGCATTTATAGTAGACACTTTCATCTGTTAGCCATCCTCCTTTCCTACTGTTTGGGACTGCCAATCATTTGGTCCGCCTAACCTTATCCCTAACCCTGACCATGACCCTGACTCTAAGCCTAACCAGGGTCAGACAATCAGAATGCCCCCATCCACTAGGCTCAATGATTGGTGAACCAGTGAACACATGACCCTAGCAAGCCTGCTCTATCAAATCTCAAAAGAAAACCAAGCTTGAGCAGACCCTGCAAGGGCTCAGAACTGATGGGAGAAGGCTCTCCTTTTACACTGGCTTTGCCAGAATGTCTCTCAGAACAGACAAGGCAACTTTCCTAAGGCAGGTGACATTCACTGGGGCCACGTATTAGAGTGAAAGAAGACCTAAACAAACCCTGAAATGTTAGTGTTAACACAGTGAGTCTATTTCTCACTGAGAGTCAGGTGTGGCCGGGCTGCCTCCCTCTGTCTGGAGTATTTGACTCCACAAAGTTACAATATCAAAGGTAAAGAGAGGATAAAGGAAGGACCCACTGGCTCCTGGGATGTTGGCCTTTCTTGGACATGTGTCACTTCTACTCACAGTCTATTGGGTGGCAACAGTCACGTGACTCCTGATCAATTGCAAGGGAAGCTGGAGCCCAGGAGTCATTCTGCTTATCCTAATTGCCTATTCTGCCTCTGACACACCCAGCAGGATTGTCCCCAATGCTGCCACACCCTTAGCCTGGTACTCAAGGACAAGACTTCATGGTGCGCACCCCAAACCTAGGGCCTCAGACTGTAGACTTGCACTGCATCCCACAGGCAGGAGTTCTATAAGAAATGTTCTTCCCTGGGCAATTAGACCAACACAAACAAATTGGCCCAGAAAAATCAAGACTCCCACAAGTGCAGGGACTTGATCTTGAAGGAAGACAACCTCGCCAGCCTTGTATTTCTTAATCAACACAATTATGCCTAGGCCTCCACCGAGAGTCCCCTGCTAGTCTCTGCCCACCCCTAGATAGTGCTCAACTGGAAGGAGCCTAATTAGTGCAGAAAGGCATGAGGGGAGGGAGAGGTGGCCTCCTGATCCTCTTCAGGAGCCTGCTGAACCTTCAAAGGAGCCACTGCAGGCAAGTAGAGGGCTCTCCTGAGCCCCAGCTCGAGGTGAGGGGAAAATGGCAGCTCAGGGCTTGTAAATCAGCAGCGCCTAATGTAAACACCACTCGCTCTCTGTTCTAATGAGCCCATTTTCCCCACAGCTGGAAGGGGCGGGCAGTGGCTGGGAGGCCTTTGATGTGATTCATTGGAAGCCTGGTGCAGGCACCAGAGCATTCTGTAGCAGGCTGGGCCCTTTCATCTTGGCTAAGAGAGATACCTCCCTAATATCATAGCCTGCCCACCTGGAAGACAGGTCTCGTACAGATGACTCTAGAATCAGCTGTAGAAGAAATTCAGATAGTTTTGCTTTTAGTCCCTTGATCACATTAGCAGGAAAGCTGGCTGGCTAGCCTCCTGGAGAAGGAGATGGGTGGAGTGGGTGGGCCAGGTGTACCAAGGCTAGGAGGCCATTGTGGAACTCATTATGCTAATGTATTCAAATGTACAAATGAGAATGTTCATAAAGACATCCAACTAAATTAGGAAAAACTATTTGTGATCAATGAGTACAACTGGGCCAGAGTCCCCCAAAGAACACCCCAGCATCTTTTTGTGTGGCCTTTAGGTGGGCCACCATGAGGCCGGAGCAGAGGAGACCCTGACCCAAACTGCTGGGGAATTTCTGAGGTCAGAATGGAGGTTTCAGGGACTAGCAGGGCTGGCTTCCTGTTTGTCCCACCTCTCACACAGAAAGCTCACCTCTTCTTCCAGCTTCAGCACCCTCTGCAAAATGTTTGCCTGCAGGGCCACATCACTATGACCATCCTTGGTCCCCTGCCTGGTGCCATCCTCTCTTCCCAGTGCTCATTACTGGTGGCACTGTCCCGAAGAATCAGTCCTTTCCGGTGAGGCCTCTCTTTCACAGGCCCACCTTACAGCTTCTAGATGGTCCCAACATGATCCCCTGTCATCTCTGGACCTTCCAAGTTGACCAGCTTCTGTAGTCCCTTAATCATCAGCTTAACTGTCAGCGCCCCTAAGAATTCTCCTCTAGCCATCACCCTTCATGGCCTCAGATGTACCCACTTTCTTCATGGAGCCCTGAACTTCTTCTTGCTTGCTGACTCCAGTTCAGAGTCCTGTTCTTCACTGAGTTGTGTTCCTAATCCCACATAGTGCCTCGGTGACAAGATGAGCCAATAAATATTTAGTGAAGAATGTAAGAAAGCAAAGGAGAAGGGGTGTGTGGGGGCGGGTTGTGATTTGTGGTATATAAGTGCCACTGTGTATAGTGGTGCACTCCTGTAATCCCAACACTCAAGAGACTGTGCCAGGAGGAATGCCATGGGTTCAAGGCCAGCCTGGGCTACTGTGAGGACTAAAGTTATGTTTTAAGTTTCAGTTACTGTGCTTATGAGATCTACAAAACAAAAATGCCTCCAACCTGTAAGTTCCACTTGCCTAAGAACAGATAACTTTCTAGAACGTTTGGGAGCTGTTGTTCATATCAAACAACAAGCCATGCATTTTCAGTTGTATTAACCAGGTTGGTTGCCCCAACTGCACAGGATGTACCTGATCACACATAGGCTGAAGATATGTAGGCAGGAAATACATAGTCTTATTGGTTTTGCCTTTATAAGCAGCTGACTAAAATAATTCACTGCCATTCTCTGGGAGTCCCAGGTACAAATCTATCATCCTGGTCATTATTTAGTAAGACTTGCTTCAAATTTGGCTCAAAAATTATGGTGGTGGTCTTATTCTTACCCGGTGGATTAACACTGCATAATGAGTTCAAGGGAGTGTCCCCCCTCCCAACTGAGCTGTGGAAACCACCTGTGTGGACCTGAGGAGGACCAGCCAGCATTCACAGGGCCTTCCATGTGCCTCACTTAAAACAGGAATCCTTGCACAGTGCTTCAAGGTGGAAACCAACATAAGCCCTGCTGGAGAAGCCCAAAGGTCAGAAAGTACTTGCCAAGGTCACATTGCTACCAGGTGACTATTGGTTTGAATTCAGGCTGAATCCGGTGCTCAGATTTTTATCTAATGACATCTGCCTAAGAAGAATTAATGATGTTCACCCAGCTGCCAGATCTTCTGTGAAAGCCTGAGTTTGTACTGAATGAAAGTGAGCAGGAAAATCATGCGACTAAAGGAGACTATGGGGATGAGAAAATGTGTTTTCAGGGCTGGAGGGATGGCTGAGAGGTTAAGAGCACGGGCTGCTCTTCCAGAGGTCCTGAGTTCAATTCCCAGCAACCACATGGTGGCTCACAAACATCCGTTATGAGATCTGGTGCCCTCTTCTTGTGTGCAGATATACATGGAAGCAGAATGTTGTATACATAATAAATAAATAAATAAATAAATAAATAAATGAAATCTTAAAAAAAAAGGAAAGAAAATGTGTTTTCAAACCCTTAAAATACTTCCACATAGGTGGGGGAGATGGCTCATTGGGAGATGGCCTCATTTGAACATGAGGGCCCGAGTTCAAATCCTCAGCATTCACATAAGAGCCAGGCATGGTGGCCTATATCTGTAACCTCAGTTTTGTTTTGTTTCTGTTTGTTTTTCTACCTATAGGAAAGTCGAGTGTCAGCTGCAGGCACTGCACTGGCCTGGGATGTCTAAGTCTCTCTAGTTACTCTGGCATGCAGTTGGAAAGCCCATGGCCACGTAACCTCAGTTCTATGAGTGCAGAAACAAGTGGGTCCTGGGGGCTTGCTACCCAGCCATTCTAGCCAATTAGTGATCCCCTGGTTCAATAAAAACACCTTGTCGAAAAAAAGACATGGCAGACAGTGATAGAGGAAAACACCTGGCACTAATCTCCACACATACAACAGGGCTGGAGATGGCTCTCATAGGGCTAGACATATAGCTCAGTGGGTAAAGTGCTTGCCTAATACTCACAAAGCACTGTATCCAATCCCTAGATTCACACAAACCAAGTATGGTGGTACATGCCTATAATCCCTATATTCAGGAGGTGGAGCTGGAGGACTATTGCAGAACCGTCCTTTACACTGTGTGAAGATATGTCACTGTGATTGGCTCAATAAAGAGCTGAATGACCAATAGCTAAGCAGGAAGAAGTCAGGCAGGACTTCTGGGGACAGAGAGGTCACCAGCCGGATGCAGAGGAAGCAGGACATGCAGGGGGAGAAGTAAAAGTCACGAGTCGTGTAACAACACATAGATTAATAGAAATGGGTTCATTTAAGTTGTAAGAACTAGTTAGAAACAAGCGTAAGCTAAGACCAAGCTTTCATAATTAATTGGAAGTATCTGTGTCATGATTTGGAGGCTGGAAGTCCAAAAAAAAAAAAAAAAAAAAAAAAAAAAAAAAAAAAAAAAAAAACTTGCTACAGAGTATCAGAAGTTCAAGGCTGTCCTCTGATACTTGCTCCACTCTCCTCAGACTCAGAAGGCGTGCTGAAGGTAGAAGCCGGTCCCCTCAGCCAAGCCCAATCAGAATGTCCTGAGTACAGAACAGAGGAGCTCCTGAGCTCTAACTACAGGGAGCTGTTCTGTTCCTTTCAGACACACGGGCCCTCTCAGGCCACACAACCAAGATTTCCTTTAAAGGCTTGCTTTTCTCCTTTCTGTGGTTTACAGCAGGCCAGTTTTATCCCAGTAGCAGGAGATCACAAGCTCCTGCATGTGTATTCTGGCTGGTTAAAGCAGCTGTGGGCTGTGGAACGGAAGATGGAGTCCTCTGAAGAGCTTCTGAGATCTTTAAACTTTTTTTTCTTTTTGCCGTAAAGAGAGATGCTGGGTGTGATGATGCACACCTTCAGTTCAGTGCTCAGGAGGTAGAGGCAGGTGAGTCTCTGTGAGTTTGAGGCCAGCCTGTTCAACATAGAGCAATCTGAACCAACTGGGGCTTGTCTAAAAAAATAAATAAGAGAAAGATGCCTGAGGCCAATGAAATGGCTTGGCTGTTGCGGAGTGTTGGTCTACACCGTAAGGATGTATCTTTGCCAAGGCACCTTCTGATTGCTTTAATAAAGAGCTGAATGGCCAATAGCTAGGCAGGAAGAGGTTAGGCAGGACTTCCACGCAAAGAGAAAAAAGGGGATAAATCTAGGCATCAGAGAGATGCCAGAGGAGACAGAGAGAAACAGGACATGCAGGAGGAGAAGTAAAGCCACGAGCCACATGGCAGCATGTAGATTAATAGAAATGGGTTAATTTAAGTTATAAGAGCTCATTAGAAACAAGCCTAAGCCAAAGCCTAGCTTTCATAATTAATAATAAGTCTCTGTGTCATGAATTGGGAGATGGAAGTCAAAGAAAGCCCGCAGCTAAAGACACTTGCCAGCGAGCCTACTGACTTGACTTTGACCCACACAGTGGAAGAAGAGAATCAATCTCAAAAGTTGTTCCCTGACCTACGCACATTGTCCATGTCACATTCACACATACACGCATACTGTAGAAACAGATAAAGAAGAATCCGTGTCACACAAAGGAACATAAGAACAAAGCAAAAGTAGCTTGGCAAGACTTTTTCTTTTTCTTCATAAAGGGTGTGCCAAGTCCCAAACCGGGTTAACAAGCACACTTGGCCAAAATGGCTTCCATCTGCTGCAGCTGGTGACTGCATCTCATCCCATTGGTGAGAGCCCAACTTTACAATCTCACATGACTGACTAATCTGTACACAGGAGAAGGGGTCAGTTCAGGAAATATGAGTCCTTGCAGGGCTAACTACCCTTGATAGAAAAAAACTTGTTTCTCACAATGCAGACCTACATATATGTACACATACATACATATAAACATATATGCACACATATACTATGCATGTACATATATTCACAAACATCCATGTATCATATATAAACACAAATATATATACATACACATACATATGGATACATACAGTATATATACATAAATATACATACTACATGCACACATACATGTATCATACAAACACATAATACATACATACTTCAGAGGAAAGCAGGAGCTATGTCATCACCACAAAAGGAAACACAGAAAGAAAGAACCAGATGCTGTGCCCAGAATTCGGAACCCCAAAAGAACCTGCCAGCCAACAAGGAGACAACTCACCGAATGCAAGGACAAAGGTTTCTTTATTGACTCGAGGATACGAGCTGCAGCAAGGACCCCATTCGTTCGGGAACAAATGGAGTACCCACTTTCGACTGAGGGGTGTTTTTATAAGGGAAAATTGAAGGGCTGGAAGCCCCAAGATTACAGAACTTCCGTGGTTACACAGGACAGGGCTATGGTTGTATGCTTCAGGCAAGGTACAATTAAGCAGGATGCTGCAGAGGAAATGACTTTGTTAATTATCTCCTGGGCTGGGGACTTCTACAATTGATAACTATCTGATCCTCTTTGGACCAGAGGAATGTGGACACCATTCTAGGGTGTGATGTCTGTTCTAAGGGCTTGAGTCCTGTGGACCTTTGTTTAACCTTGTCTGCCGAGTTGCCTTTTGGGAACTCAGAGTTTTCTTTTTGGGCTTTGGAGTCTGAGGTTTAGACTTTTATTAATTTTCCCCTTTCACCAGACACATGGTGCTTGAGAACGTGTGCCCTGCCTGCCCTTGTCTCTGCTCTCAGGGCTGCCTATCAAGACCCCATCTGTGGTTGTATGCATCTCTCACCCAGGCAGACTACAGTTCCCTGGGCCTCTGATGAGCTGAGACTGGTTCAGTGTTGTGTCCTGTTTCCCCCCCCTCCCTCAACATCCCTTCACCTTCTACTATTATGAAACAATCTTTTTTGTACACTGTGAAGATGTGTCACTCCGGTTGGTTTAATAAAAAGCTGAACATCCAATAGCTAGGCAGGATTTGGGGGGCAGAAAGGCACTGAGAAGTCAGAGGTGTGAGGAAAAGTAGAGAAACAGGATAGGTAGTAAGGAGATGAAGTCATAAAGCAACAAGGCAGAAAGTAAATTAATAGAAATGGGTCAATTTAAGTTGTAAGAGCTAGTTAGAAACAGGTCTAAGCTATTGGCCTGTTTAATTAATAATGAATTTTCATGTCATTACTGGGGAGCCTATGGTCCTGATGAAAAATCTGGCTACATTCTACTCCCAAGTTCCCTGCTAGATCAAGCCCAGGTGCTAGCTTCCCTGGCTTCTGTGCCCCACCCTCCTCCTGTTTCCACCCACCCCATGTTTCCTGGATAAGTCAACTCCCAAACAAACTCCTGAGACCCAAATCCTTGTCTGCCTCTGTAATGTGGCAATTTGACCCCCTTAAACTACGTCTACCAGAATCCCATTTCCTGTAACACACACAAAAAAACTTCCTATGAGAGCCCTGAAGGGTACAGGTTGTTGGAGTGCCTTACGTTATTGACCTGAGGTCCAGGGGTATGAGTTTAGCGCAGTGCTTATCTCTTCCCACCACATGCCATCAAAGAGAACAAGAACAGATGCTCGAGAGTCCTCACTGGGCCCCAGCTCAGGCTTCTGAGTTCCTCTTCATCTTTGTTGTCCCCCCATTTCTAACTGCCTTCCATTCCCAGCTAGCTACACACCTTCTGTGCTTCCAGATCAAAGTCAGGCTCAGTGACCCCAGTGTTACAAAGATGTGGTGTGTGAGGTCAAACTCTCATGAGGAATCCCTGAAATGTGAGTGTATATTCTCCAGAAGACACCCCAGAGGTCAAGTGTGTCAGTGAGGTTCGGGCAGATCCCATTAGGGGATCCCCATAGTATCATGGTTTTTTCTCTAGTGGTGGCTGGTGTTCTCTGTTTGATAGAGAAACCACAGGCACTCTTTGACTCGGGTTCTGCTTTTGGGAAAAGAAATCCCCAGGATGTCCTGCTCCTCTGTGGAGTAGTCTTTGCAGGTAGACTGAGGCAGGACAGGGGCATTGCATCCTCAGGATGATGGTTGAGTTCATTTCAGCCCCTCCCCCAGCTGTATGCCCGCACCTCCTCCTGTGCCAGAAAACAACATTAGCACCCTTTCCAGCATCCAAGAAGAAATATTTCTATTCAAATGTCAACAACATTATCACTTGTTTTTTAAGTGGTGGTGTATTCCCTGGTGCTCTCCATTAAGATCCTCAGTGCAGACCCAGCCTGTTTATGACTTGGTTCCCCAGGGCTGAAGCAGACACCAGGTTCCAAGGAACTAGAAATGACCTAGCCAGGCTTTGTCCAGTGAAAGATGCTAAGGGGTCAGCTGGAATCTGGCTGGAATTCTCTGAAGATTCAGGGAAGCTGGGGCCCAAGAAATGTGGGTAAAATCCTCACCATCCTGCAAGCAAAGTTCTTTCTTTTCCCCCAGTGCTCTGAATTTACCACTAGGTCCCATGTATGTGTGCCCCCAGCTGATACTGACTGCTCAGGAGGGAGACCCTGATGGATTGGTTCCTAACCACCAGGCACGGCTTGGGGTGAGTGGCTGGTAAGATGGACAGTTGGGAAGATGAAGAGAGAGCAGGAGGGAGGGGGGAGGACGGGAGGGAGGGATGTAATAGCAACAACCTTAGAACTAGATGTCACACCTTAGAGGTCTGAGAATGTAGCTTAGTTGGTAGAGTACTTGCCTAAAGCATTCATGAATCCATGGGTTTGAACCCCAGCACCACATATGCTGGACACAGTGGCACAGCCTGTAAACCCCAGGACTTTTGAAGTGGAGGCAGAAGGATCAGAAGTTCAAGGTCATCCTTGACTGTTGTCCTATTTGCCTCAGCTG